CTGTCAGAGGCACAGACAGGTCCTCCATTCTCTCAGTGGAGAAGCATCTCCCTCCCTGTGGGTCTCCTCTTTAATAACTAAGGAAAGAGAAACTTATTGGAAGAAGAAAAGTAATCCTCCAAACTAATGCAGACGTATTTTAGGGTATTTTCAATCATTTTGTCTCCTGTTGAAGAATCCAGTGGGCCATACACCCAACTTTGCATCCTGCAAAACCCATTTCGTATATCTTTCCCACAACGAACAGTGCCGGTCTCTGTTCCTACCCACACCCGATTTGGCTGTTCCTCCTCATATATTTCATGTAGAAAGGCTCAGACCAGCTTTGTCCATGTGTTAGACACATATAATAATAATAATATACTTATTTATAAGCATTGTAGACAGGCAGCTGCTGATTATGGAGATTTGGTTCCCGTAGCCAAGGGGAATTGCCGTCTCCTTCAGCATCCAGCAAAGCCTGTGTAAGGCTATTCAGGCAACACAAATCTCACATTATAGGAAGCTTTTACAAATTAGACAGAAAAACATGTTTAAAAACAACCTGCTGGTCCAGCTGGGGGAAATCTCAGTTGCTCACCGAGATCTTGCTGATGTCCTTCGAAAGGGTAAGGGCACTGAGAGAGTTGCTTGAGATGGCAATCGGGTTTGCTTCAGAGCTGCCACAGCGAACGCACCAGCGCGATTCGATAACAGCCTCGATAACAACAACAGCCCTGATAACAACAAACAGCCCTGCCGAGCACAGCGAGCCGTAACCGGGGACTTACTGGTGCCTGTTAAGGTGTAACAGCGTGGGCCAAGATGAGACATCTTTATTCACTGCCAGCATCAGCTCCCTCAGCAGCTCCCTGGGGTTGAGAAGCTGAGCCTTTATTTGTGTTTTGTGGTATCCAAATGCTCAGCTGCCCCATGAGTTGCAGCTCAGAGCAACAACCCATAGGTAAACATATCTATACACACATATACACACACACACATACATATATATGTTTATATATATATACACAGACACACACATCTAGACATATATATTTCTTTTTCTCTGACAAAATGGACCTCTACACATAACAATGGGGCAAGGGCAATGATAAGGTGGATACTTCACAGCCCTCAGTTATTCTGCCTTCCTGCACGTAATGTGTATGATTGTATTAAAAAGGTTTCACAACAATCTCATAAAGATTCATACAGATTCTCAGCTAATTCTCTATGTCCTGCAGCAGGAGACAACCAGTCCCTCTCAGTATTCATCACTGTGAAGGACTGCTTGGTTACGCTTGTTTTATGGTTTATACTTTGGGATGCTCTGCCCCAGCAGGCAGAGGTTGCCTGAGTGCCGCAAAAGGCACAGCACTGGGATAATTTTGGCTTTTCTCCTCCTCAGCTCTCTCCGTTGGCCAAGAACATGTTGGGTTTAGCAGCTTAATGCAAATCCAGCCCTTGGAAAAACTCCACTCTTGCCTCATTAGTTTTGCAGCATCAGTTGTAGCAACAGAACGACTTCCCAGAGCCAGGGTGGAGCTGAGTTTTGCACAAAACAAGGGGCATTTTTGAAGCCTTTAGAAGAACAAAGCAGAGAGTTTTTTTTCGTTATTTGCCAAGGTTGTCTTCCTGGAAGGCAATGAGGTTGCTGACCTCGTATCAACAAATTCCTTCTTGGCCCTGTTTAGAGCACCATTGCCTGGAGGTCACCACAGCTTTTGTGCTGAACATGCCCACGGTTTTGATGGCATCCCAGGTATCTATCATCTCACCTCTCACCTACATAGTGATTTGGTGACCCAAAACACATTAATTCCTGCTTCAACGGGACCTCAATCCATGGCTGTAGCTACTTAGTACATGTGATGACTCCCAGATATGAGCACATCTCATGCGCAAGTCAAGGGTGTATCTCTCCTCCTTGCCCCATGCAGGGATGCTTTGTGGGTCAGGAGCAGCCTCCACTGCTCCCAGGGGCTGGAAGCATGGACCAGTACAGATCTCATGTGTGTCACTGTGAATTTGCTCAGGGGATGGCAAAAACCAGCATCTCTGGCATCTCTGCACCCAGTGGGTGCTGACTGAGGCCAACTGGAAATGCTGAGACTACAACACGTTAATGGGAAAAAACCCCTCCTATTTCACTGCAGCACACATTTGTCTAAAACTGGGATAAATCTCTTGACAGGAAGGGTTTTTTTTCATAGCCCTGGCAGACTGGGGTGGGAAGGAAAGCAGAAAGATCAAAATCCTGACCCTTCTTTCGTTTCAAAGCACTCACTGAGGAACTGCTGCTTTACAACGACACCACACAAGAGCAGCAAAACCAAATCTGATTCTGGGATGCCCCGCTGTCCCCAAGCCCCATCCCAGCAGGGTCCCAGGGATGCCACACACCTACTGGCCCCAGCACCTCCTGAGGCCTGGTCTGCTCCTTCCATGAGCCCCCATGGTCCTTCCTCACAGCTTGGTAGCCCCAGCCTGTTATTACTCCCCTCAGTGAGTCACTGATCATTGATGAGGTTGATTACAGGGCTCATTTAAGCAACTTGCTCTGCTCCAAAACCATCAGCTCCCATAAAGGTTTCTAAGAATGAATTAGCCTGAGCTATTATTTGTGAGCTGGCACAGGGAGCCCTCAAGTCTCTTTGGTGGTGCTTGTTGCAGAAAATAAAGATGCAGCATTGATGGGATGATGCAGCAGCTTTCAAATACCCAGGAGCAGTCAACAGGACCTGCAATATGCCCCTAGCTTCCATTTTGGTGTCACCAACCTTTACTGGGACCTTCTTTGGCCGTGACCAGGCAGGGATTCAGCAGTGAGACAGTCCTGCCTTGGGGCCAGGCACATCCAGGTCATGTCCCAGTGGAGCATCAAGCATTGACCCCCCAATAGAGGGACTGATGGGTTGGGTGGGCTCAGTGGGTTTAACCCACTCTTGATCCATTTGACCTCCATTTGCTCAAAGAGTTTTTTTAAAACAAGCTTCTGAGAGAGGGAATGACCTCTCCTAGGACACAGGTGGGCCAGGAGGAAGGGCTTCTTCTCATGGCAGCTCACATCCCCCACTTTTCTCCTCCAAAGGATGTGTCCTGCTGCTTTGCTCCCTGGAAAGAGAGATGGGGCTCCAGAAGTAATGATTTATAAGCAGCTTTTCTTGTTGGTACCTGTAGAGTTGTGAGTAGATGGGATGAGCTCATCTACAGGAGCCCTGGCCCTTATTGTGACTGGGAAATCCCTTCTCCGCTGCAGAAAATAATCCAAACAGCAATTCTTATTGAAAGAAAAAAAAATTAAAATGAACGGCAGCTGCTCTGAAACAAAGTTGGTATTCAGGCCATATAGGGTAAGATTATCCTAAGAAAGCTTTGAATAACATTAGTGCAGCTGCCTTGCAGTGGAATTGATTGTCTCAGAGGTCTTTTGGCTCTGATCGCTTTAACTGTAGATCTCAGCTCTGGGCAGACCCAGACAACTTCAGCCCAAGAGCTGGGTCTGGCTTGGGATGGGGAAAGCCCATGGGTGGAAAACACCACCCAGATCCTACCCCTTGAGACCTGGGTGCGTGGACAACGGCCCTGTCCCTACCTCCCTGCAGCAAGCGCTGTTGTGCCCAGTGCTTTTGATGCGGTGCCTTCTGGAGGCGTGCGTGTGTGCGCATGGACATGTGTGTGTATGGACACACGGTGCTCATAGCTGCCAGAAGTGGGAGAAACTGGGATCTCCAAGCTCAATTTTCTCAAATATATTGGCTCTTATCCTCTTTACTCACCCAAAAAAGAGAAGCCCAACAGTGGTGGAGGCCAGGCGGCTTTCCCAGCCCTGGCAGGGCAAAATGCAGAAGTTGGCATCTGAGCTCTTAAAGGAGAGTTTATGGCTCTGCTGATTGTGGCTTATAGTCATAAATAAGTGAGAAATTAATTTATTTCATTCATGATTTTATATGCGCTTTTAAAAAAGCGGTATTACTTTTACAAAATGTTAACCCAGAAAGCACATCTTGCTACTAAAAAATCTCTCAATATAAAAGGCAGCACTTTAAAAAGTAAAATGCAGTATAAAAGAGTAAAACGAGAAAAACGCTTGCGCAGAAGGGACCAAAACCCTCCTGAGGCCCTGCCCTCCTCAGTTCCTAGGAAAAAGCTCCCTCCAGATTAACCCATCACCCCGGTTTTCGTCCAGCCACTTCCCACAGGGGAATATGGTAGTCACGCCAGTGGCCGAGTTGGTGATCTCCACCCGCTCCACCAGCCAGCCCGGTGCCAGACCGCTGTTGTCGTGCTCAATCCTGACCTTTTTTAGCTCCCCCATGTCCAACGTTTCCAGGTAAAACCTGTTGGTTTTGCCCCGCTCGAAGAGGTTCCTGAACTTCTGCTTCAGCGCTCGCTTTCCCGAATCCCCATTCATCCCAAAGATGGTGATGAAGACGTTGGCGTCGGTCCCCGCACCCTTTTCGAAGCCTGTGACCACGATGGTCTCATATTTGACTGGCACCAAGCTCCGGGCTTTGCTGGCAAAGCTCTCGGTGACCTTGGCACACTCGAAGACTTTGTAGTCCCGTCTCTTGTAACGCAGAGGGATTTTCACGTTGCACCTGAAAAAATATCTGCCAGGGGGAAATCAACAGCGTATTAATGGTGTGGATGGACACTTGAGTGGGAAAATGTTATGGACTAGGCAGGCTGCTAAATTTCCCAGTATTAATGCTGTTTCAGTACTTTTCATAGACTCATAGCATGGTTTGGGTTGGAAGGGACCTTTAAAGAGTTTCTCTTTAGAAAGACGGCCATGATTGAACACTGCAACCGCAACTGGGACACCCAACACCCCTGGACAGACACATGGACATGGCAAGGTTGGTGGGGGGCACTTGTCACCTCTTTTGCCTGTGCAATGGCGTGTCCATTTACAGACCCACTGAGGCAGGGTGAGCGATCAGTCCTGCAGCTAACACAGCCCAGTGCTGCTGAGTGTAACTGGTCTGAGAGCAGAGGGATCAGCAATTATCATAGACTGATTTGGTGAGAAAAGACTTTCGAGATCACCAAGTCCAACCATAACCTGTTTGCTACTAAAACAAATCTCTAAGCACCCCATCGACCCGTCTTTTAAATACCTCCAAGGGTGGTGACTCCACCACTTTCCTGGGCAGCCTCTTCCAGTGCTTGACAACTGTTTCAGTGACGAAATTTTTCCTCAAATTCAATCTAACCCTTCCCTGGTGCAATCTGAGGCCATTTCCTCTTGCTCTATCATTTGTTACTTGGAAGAAGAGTTGGACCCCATATCTCTACACCCTCCTTTCAGGGAGTTGTAGAAAGTGATAAGGTCTCCCCTCAGACTCACTGATGGTAAGGTTAAGGTTGGGCTAGGAATTAGAAAAAAGGGAATGAGAAAGTTGGGAGGAGGAGGTTTAAAAATCTCCTCCCTTCCTCATCGGGGTGACCCAGCCAATCCTTAGCAGGCAAAAATAAAATAAATAAAAAAAGATTAGCATGGAGCACAGCGATGATAGGTACCAGATGCTGAAAGCCCTTGGCTCTGCAGCGATGCACAGGGAGCACACAGCACATCCATAAATTACTGCGCAGTGGGCAGCCGGCCAGCGGCTGGAGCACTCTGCTTTTAATGATGTATTTCATTTCCAGCGATGCAGATCATGTCCAAATGAGGGTTTTTTCTGTCCCTCCTCCCCTCCTCCCGCTTTCCCAAACTGCAGCAGTTTTTCCTGGAGGGACCGGGGCCGGATTGCAGCACGTGTGTGTAAAATAAACACCTGGAGGAAGGGTTATTGCAATTGCAGCAGTCCAGGGATGCTTAACCATTTCCAACGCTTCTGACATTTTTCCACAGCCAAAGCAAAACATTCCTTTCTCTGGAAAGAAGCTTCATAAATGAGAAATTCTGGTGGGAGCAAAAATTTTAAGCTCAGAGGCAGAAAAACTGCATGAGAGTGAGGTGCCTGATGCTGCAGTTTTATTTCCTGGGCTTTGCAATATCTCATGGTCTGGAGTTATGAGAGAGTGTGCCAGTCTTTGCGAGGGGCAGGAAAAGAAAAATGACCTTTCTAGCCCTGGGATTTGCAAGAGACAGCTTCTGAATACAGCCCTTTTGCATATTAAGATCTACTACTAAAAGGCAAAAGTCCCTGTGTAATTCAGAACTACTGCTGCAGCAATCTCGTAACTCTTTTACTTTGGTCTCTGGCTTGACCGAGTGAGGTTATTTGGATGTTTAGGGTCGGGAATACCTGAGGTGAGAGCGTGGTCTCACGGTGAGATGTGCTGCGGGTGAGGGTTTGCAGAGCAAGCACCGCTGTGCAGAGCTGAGTCTGCAGGGCCAGAGCCCTGCTCAGTGCGGGCTTCACCGCCGTCTCCCAGCTGCCCGCTTTAATTTAACACAACTCAAACAAAAAAACAACCTGGGGCTTTATGAGAAGATCTTTGGCCCAGTCGAAATATCTTATTTCAGCAGTTTCAGCACGCTCCCAGTGAGTTTAGTGCATGAATTTGATTGCACAGCTGGACTTTAAGTGTTCCAGGTCTTTTCCCACCAGGAGAAAAGAACATGTTTTAGTATGTAATTGACTGAGTTTTCATTCAGTAAATACTATTGTGGCTTTTCTGTTGGCTGATTAATTTGCTAGGAGAGACTCTTAGCTTCTAAAAAAAACCAACTGACTTCTTCAAGAATTTCTTCTTAAACACTAAATTGTCTCAGCTGGAACAAACTCCTTATCGTTAAATTCTTTAGCAGCAATGGAAATATCACAGAGAATAAAAGAAAGCCACAATTAACATTGTAAATATATTCTCTGAAGAGGAGTTTGTTCTTCAAATGGGTTTTGTTCTTCTGTTGCATAGTCCCTGTGCTATCTGCTCCCTGAGTCCTCAACGTTACTCCTTCCAAAAATGGGGATCCAAACTGGTGTGAGTCAGATGTTCAGGTTTTGTCTTACTCTCAATTTTTTTCTACGAGCTCTAAAAAGTCTTACCTAAAGGTCAGCCTGTACAGAGCATCCTACAAACCTCGTATATTTCAGTGACTCTTGGTATTTTCCACAAGCTGAGACACTTATTTGTCATAGCGGTGAAATCCACCAAGCAAACTTGTTCATGAACTTACCTGCATGGGCAAATGCCCTCTCTGAAAACAGAAATTGCACAGGCAAGTCAGTTGTGCACCCAAAACACCAAACAGCTTGGTCTTGGCTTTTCAGAAAGGGATGAAGATTTGGTAAGACATTTCACTATTGTTAAGTCCAAAATGCTTCAGGAGGACACCCGTGGAGCTGCTGAGCATCCCCACACCCTCCTTGCAAATGAGGAGGCACTTACTTGTTGCAGAGCTCCATCTCCGTTACGACGATCTCCTGGACATGCCAGAAGACATCAGCTTTTGCAGACGACTTCTTCCCGTCTTTTGGGCAGTGACCAACGCAGATGGCTGCAATATCCCCAACGTTCTTTGAAGAGAACTGAAATGTGTCTGTTGCTCCCCTACAGGGAACAAGGAGCAGTTTTGGTTAGCGTCGTGAAGGCTGTCAGTGACCTGCCTCATATGGGCATTAAGTGATTGGCACATGGCTGTGGATGATGGGAGATAAGCCTTCATTTAAAGTAATTTGATTTAACCTACAATCATTCAACACAAAGTATAATTTCCATATTTAAATTTAGTATTTTCTCTGATTAAGGGTGACACTTTAAATTGTTGCCACTAGGACTTTCCAGGATAAACTTGAGCTCTTCCACATACAGAATCAATTTGCCTCATTATAGATAAAGCTAAAGAATGACTAATTTCCCCTCCGGCACTTATTCATTCATTCTTGACAGATACTGTATCTGTTACACATCTACCCACCATAGCTGTTTTAAATTTGCTGGTTCAGCCACCCTTCCTGAAGCTCAGCTTGAAAACACTTTAGAGAAACAATAGATCTCTGTCAAACCCTTGGCTGGCTCCCTGTGATGACCCCTGTGTATCTGTCAGGTTTGTCTCCTTGTACTGGTCCTTATTCCAACCTGCCTCCAAGGATAGACCATGGCCAATATTTTGGATTTGTCTTTAATGCCTTTAACTCCACTGTAGACACCATCAGCTGAAAGTTGGGACGAAGCTCCTCTCCATCTTTCTTTTTTCACATGAAATTTCAGCCATTCATACTAGAGCCCTCATCAGCTGTAATTTCACTTTTCTTCACAGACCCACAAGAAAAACCTTTCCTCCCTCCAAAGCAACCAAAGATCAGCAGTGCCCTTGGCTTTGAAGAGGCTCCCGTCTCCCAGAAGTGTGCGGTGTCCTTAGACAAAGCAGAAAACCCATCTCACATCTGGAGCACCTTGGTCCCACATGGGAGCAGGGATCTGCCCCATGTTGCATAGACGCGCCTCCGGCTTGGCTGCACGCACGGCTGATATTTGGCTTTCCTCACACGACAATGATCTTCCAGCCATAACCCTCCCAGATTCATCTGGGAAGTCAAATCTGAGCAGCTCTGACAATGTTCAGCCTCCAACTATTTTTACTTTCTCTCTGATTCCTCCTGCCAGCGAGATGCTGCAAAAGGAACTGAAAACACCTCCAGCTTCCTTCAGCTCAAAAATACACGGCCTCCCCGGGGGCTTGCCAGAAGCCCATTAGTATGTACTAATACAAAAGGACACGGATACACACACTCATACACATGCATCATCTACATTTCCTTTTACCAAAAGCGTTTTTCTTATCGTTTCTGTACTTGCTCTGTGTCTGCCCATCGGAAATTAATTTTGTATCTTCCTTTTAGCGCAGGTGAGAAACTTTTAGGAAGGGGGATGAGAAACAGCATGGCACAAACGCAACTCGGTAGACCATCCCGGAGAAGAGGTGGCATTTGTGGAAGACACACCACTGGTGGGGTTTATCCGGTCCACCACCTAGGCCCTTACCTTTCAAATCGCCTTTTTTTGGAGGAGTTTTCCATAAGGAATTCTTTTGAGCGGCCCAGTTTTCCTTCTAAGATGATCCAGATGTTTTCCTTTGTTTCTGCGTCCTCTCTGTCGCTCGTTACTGTGACGATCTCATAGGCTTTAAAGCGTAATTAACACACACGTTAAACAGAAAAGCAAGAACAGATGGCCAGATAGATCTCTTCATTTGGCTGTCACTTTGCTTAAAAATTCTCTTCCTAATATTTATCACAGGGCACAATAAAGCGTTTTCAAAATAAGGATGAAACCACACTGAAATCTGTGGGACTTTTGACTTCTACGTGCTTTGGATTTCATGCAGGGATGGAGTACATTAAAAAATCTGAGTACTGCTTGAGTAAGAGTAGGCAGAGCTGCTCTTGAGCAAGTTGTGTCCAGTTCCCTGCTGTCTTAAGCACTCCCTTTTTAACACAGCCCAAATCTTATGGGTTTTGGGCCACTGCTCCTAAAAGGGACAGTGAGGGTATCCACATACCCAATAGGATGTGCTTAGATGCTGTGGTGGCATGTAAGTACCCAAAATGGCAACCAGAAGGCTGATTTTTTTGCAGGGATGAAGTGAAATCACACTGAAGTACTGTGATTATGGACTCTTCAGGACTTTCCTGGAAAAGAGCACTGCAGTGCAGGAGTTCTTGAGATGCACTTTGCATTTCATCAGTGCAGCTAAATAACTCCTGCTTGTTCGCATATTAGACATCAGTAAAATTACCTTGGGCTCGGTGGAGTTACCCAGAGCAGATCCAGGGCTATGGGGAGTTAAGCTCAGCCATCATGTTCAGCTGGAATACTTCAGCTAGTAGCCCAGAACGTGTTGAGAAGGAAGCTGGAGCAGTGTTACTTGCAAAGCTTTAAGGATTGATCTTATTTTCCACCTCAAAGACTCAAGCCCATTATTTCTAATGAGACCATAACCATGTCCTTATGGCTTACTGCTGGATTGAACCGCTGCAGATGGGCCCTCTGAAGTTTCAACCTGGAATGAGATCTTTTTCTTCCTCATAAATCCTGATTTGTTTCTTTCTTGCCACAACATTGCACTTCTGAACTAGAGTACCTTAGGTACTTCAACCCTTAAAGCCTGCAAATACAAACCCCTATTGCATGGGGACCTTCAGGAGAGCGGTTTGCAGTTATTTTGGTTCTATAGCCTCCGAGAACCCTCAGCAGATGCCACAAGTCAACTCTAAACTCACCAGTCCGTTCCTTCAGCTCCAGGATGTCGTTATTGGCACAGGCCAGTTCCCTTATGAGCTGCCCATCGTCTTCTCCTTTAGCCAGCCAGCGATCACACTGGAAGCGAAATGTCTTGTCCATAGCGGAGTCAGTCACATCAATGTATTCCAAGTGCCAACCTGGTGCTATTCCTAGTAAAACAACAAAATAAAGAAGATTTCGATACTTTCTCACAGCTTGGGTAAGGGAATGAGATACCTTTCCTTGGGGGCACTCTGCTGGTACTAGAAATTATCTATACTTGCTTCAAATAATGTCACCAGTGAATATGATGTTGTTCTGATACCAAAAGCAATGATGACCTGCTCAAGACCATAATCTGATCCCCTTTCTAGCATCAGGCCATGCTTTAGAGGGAGTTGCTGGTTTTGATCAGATACGGTCCAGGATGGGCTGGTATTGGTCAGATATGGTCCTGGATGGGTTAGATTTCAAGATCTCTGGCCAAGAGGCCATCTCTTGTCCTTGCCCACCACCTTGCATGAGGTGGAGCTTCTGCAATACCAGTAGCAGTGGGGCCTGCATGCCCCATGTCAACACCTCCACCACAGGAACCATCCCACAGAGAAACATTACTGTGACTTAGGAACAACAAACCCTTACAATGCTCCAAGGAAACCACGTATTCCCCCAAACTGTTTCCTAGAGTCAGAAGAATGAATTCTCCTGGAGGACAAAAGCTAATGGAGCAGCTTCTGTCACAGAAACCACCGCTGATTCTTCCTTCCATTTTAAAGGAAACGTGAAGCCTGAATGCCAAATGATATGAGTTCCTGTACCACTTAATCCCCATCCTTTCACCACACATGTCCATAGTTATAAAAAAAAGACCTAGCAGTGTGCACATGGTTTGTGGGCACCCCTTCATATATTTTAAGTGCTAGTTGACCACAAGCTGTAGGGTTCAGTGTCTTTCTCTGTGGCCCCTAAACACTTCATATTTGGATTTGAAGGTCAGAAGGAGATTACAATTCACTCCTTTGATCCTGCCAGCTAGCATATGGAAGGAAATTACCCGTGCTATCTTGGCTTTACCAATCAACCAGAATGAATTCAGTAGTGCTGTGACTGGCCATGAATGTAGGACAGACTGAAATGGTAGACGCTCTAGCAGGGACCACCAAATCACCTCACTTTTGCCCTGGGGACTTCTGAGGAGTAATAACTCCCTCTAAGTTTTCTACTTCCTTTTTCTTTTTCAGTGGAAAAGCAATTGAAAATGAAGAAAAGTGTTTGGGGAGCATTTTCCTGATTTCTTTGTTGAAATAAAATAAGCCCTTGTTGAGCTTGGGGGGATAAGAGGTTCTGACAGTTTTACTTACAAGTCCTGTTATTAGTCAGACAAAGAAAGGTTATGCTCATGATGAGAGATCTCTGCTGACTTATTATTTACATCCCAGAGACATTAAACTGCTCTTGGTCTTCCAAGAACTCACTGCCATGTGCCTGCTTCCTTAGCTTGCAAATATCAGTCTTTGTTAGCTCTTAAAATAAATTGATGGCAACTTTTAGAGTGATGTCAAGAAGTCACCCTGCTCCCATGGACTGCGATCCCTCCACACCATGTGCTGCCAGTCCTCTATCAGTCTCACAGCCGTTCCTGTTTTGTACTTTGACTGAGCCTTCTTCAAGATGGGATACCATCTGGTACCAAGCACAAACCTCAAACAAAGACACCACTTGCTCCTTAAATTTAGAGAGGACAGAACTGCAGACTCATTGTGACTGGAAGGGACCTCTGGAGAACGTCTAGTCCAACCCCTGCTTAGAGCAAGGTCAGCCAAAGCCGGCTGCTCAGAGCTGCGTCCAGTTAGAATCTGTACATCTCCAAGGATGGAGACTCCACAGCCTCTCTGAGCAACCTGTGACAGTATTGGATTACCTGTGTAGAGGAAAAAACCTTTTTCCTTATGTTTAAATTGGAATTTCCTGTGTTTCAGATTGCGCCCATTGCCTCTTGTCCTGTCACTGGGCGATGCTGAGAAAAGTCTGGCTCTGTCCTCTTTACTGCCCCATTAGACATTGGTAAAATCCCTCTGAGCCTCATCTTCTCCACCTGAGCAGTCCCACCTCTCTCAGACTCTCCTCATACGACAGATGCTCCAATTCCTTAATCATCTCTTTATCCATTCACTACTCCCAGTGTGTTCGTGTCTCACTTTAACTGGGTGGACAGAGACAAGAGCTGTGCAAACACCACGGGTGCAGCACCCAGGCAGTGACACTGGGTTTGTATCCCTCAAACATACAGCATAAGGGCATGAAGGGGTTTTGGGGGTGAGCTGGCATCACAGATCCTCACCAATTTACTGCCTCCTGGGCAGATCTTGTCAAGCTCCCCAAGGCTCCCACCATGCTTTAACTGGAGCATCCTGCTCTTTGGGGCTGTTTGGAAATTTATTCTAAACATGTCGGCAGCATCAGCCATTAATCTTTTTGGCAGGCTCATTTCCATTTGAGTTCAATGAACGTCTCTGCAGCGTGTTCAGGAGGCTGCTCCGCTTCCATCAAAACTTTAGTTAAAACAGCAGAGGATGAAAGAGAGAAAACATCCCATCCTTCTGCAGCGAGAGAGATCAGTGGCTGCAGACCAGGATGGAATAAATTGGAGATCTGAGTCTTGTTGCCAGCAGTGAACAGCATGACCAGGACAGGATCAGCGCTAGGCAGTGCTATCAGGAGAAGAGATGCACAAACCCTCCTCCCTCTTCTCCAGCCTGGTCCCAGCAGCTGCTCAGCAGGACAGATGCAGCAAAACCCAGCTCTTCCACCACAGGGAGAGATGGACCAGAGATGACTTCCCATTACATTGAGAGCAAAGCACACAAAAAGTGCAGCTTTTCCTAGTGTTCTCTGAGAAAGGCGCGTTTCTCAGCTTTGGGCGATTTAAAGAGCAAGCTCTGGACTCTGTCAAGGCATCAACACTGAAAGGCAAATATGAACTTGGTGTCCCTTTATCGCATGAGGGTACAATCAAGGAGCTGGCTGATCACTCTTATAAAAATTGTGGTACTGCCTCAAAGCATCCTCCTTCCTGTTTAAGGAAAAAAATAGTTAACTTCCCTCTCACGAGAACTGGTCTTTAGCAACTTAAATTAGACTGGGAGACCTGGAAGCTATGGAAGTATCCTATATTGCTTTTCATTCCTCAGGATAAATGGTTCACCCCAGGTGAATGCTATACTGGTTATGTGCAGAGCAGCACATCTTCCTGCCCTGTCCATGTCCCCAGGTGCCAGGGCAGGTGTCACATCAAGGCTTTCACTGCCACAGCGTTGAACTCTACTTAAAAGCTGATGCGGAAATGGAAGGATTGGCTTGTGGCTGAAGAAAGACAAAGTACTGGTTTTCTCTCATTTCAGACTCGGAAAAGTTACATTTAATTTCTTTTTCTATTGATCTAGAAAAAGAAATTTTATTAATCTACAAAACAAAACAAAACACAAAGTCCAGTTATGCACAGAGTCTAAAAGTGAGACTTCCCCTCCACTGAACTGGCTCTGTGTGCTGGGGAACATCTCAGTGCAAGGAAAAGAAACCTTGTTTGCAGAACCAGCCTTCAGGCCATGAAGTCCCGATTTCAGGATATTACTCTGTTTCCACTTCTGTTCCCATGCAGCTTTTGCAGAGCAATGGCCTCAGAGACCTTACAGCATCTGAGAAACAAGAGGAAAGGAAACTACATCCCATATGGACATAATCCCAGAGGCATTGAATCCTCAGCACAGGCTTCTTTATGGAGGAATCCGTCTTTAAAATAGTTTGGCCACCACTGTGTCATTGTGGAAGACCCCCTTATCACCATGACAAGCGTTGAGTGTTTGTAACAAAAGGTATTTCACTCCAGGCCTGTTTTGCTGCTGTTGAAATCCCCAGCAGCAAACCTACCCTAATAAAACCCGCGGCTGTGCCACGTAGGCTCCTTAATGGTCCGCAGCTGGAAGTGACATTTTCAATAGCGTGCAAAACATTTCAAATGTAATTAGAGGTGGAGAAGAGCTTTGGGGAAAACAGAATCACTTTGCTTGCTCTGCTCTGGCAGTTGTATAATTTAAAAAAAAGGAAATGTATTCTCTTCCTCAAGTGCCCTTATCCAAACGAGCAGGTATTTGTCCCATTTATCCTCCTTTTCCCAGAAAGGCCCAAGCTGACAACCGGATGATGCTGGGCAAGGACTCTGTGTACATCTGCAAGGTCTTTGAGGATCATTTTGCCGTTTTCCCGGCCAATGTTAAAAGTCTGTGCTTTCCTGACATCAGGCAGACAGGTTGGAATGTAAACTCCTTGTCATGCATTTCTGCATCGATTAGCACGATTGAGTCTGACTTCAGAGAGAGGAGATGTAACACAGATAATGAAGTTACTGCTTCAATTAACTAAAACCCCAATCTGCAGCACCAGAATAATCCTTACTGCCACTTGAGAACAGCAACCCCTTGCCCCAGCCTATATTCACCCCTAAAATACTAAGCTGGGAGGAAACATGAGTGCATGGGAGAAGAAGAGTGAGAATTAACTGATTTTGGTGGGTTCACCACTCACTTACCAGGCACGTGGTCCCTGACCTTGCTTTCACAGAATCACAGAATCCCAGAATATGAGGAGTGGGAAGGGACCTGGAAAGCTCCCCCAGTGCAACCCCTGCCAGAGCAGGATCACCAGAGCAGTCACACAGGAACACAGCCAGGGCTTTGGGGGTCTCCACACAAGGAGACTCCACAACCTCTCTGGGCAGCCTGGGCCATGCTCCAGAACCCTCACACTCACAAACTTTGGCCTCATCTTCAGCTTGAACCTCCTGTGCTCTAGCTTGGGACCATTGCCCCTTGTCCTGGCATTGGACATCCCAGGGCAGAGCCTGGCTCCTTCCTCCTGACACTCGCCCTTTGCTTTAATGAACATTGACTACTCCTTCCAAACAGCGAGCTGGTGGGATCAAATCTGTGCTGGCAGCAGCACATCCAGGCTTGGATGCACACATGTCCATGGCAGTTAAACCTTTTCCACTCTCTGCAGCTGTATTAATTGATTTTCCTCTCTGTCCCTTGTCTACCTGTAGCAGATCTTCTTCATTTTTGTTTCTAAAAATGGTTGATGCCCCATCAAGGATGAAAGTTGTCATTACTGGGGT